ATACCTGCTGGTGAATTATGGAACACCTGACGCCATAAATTCCACATTTGTTTACTAAAGATTACGTTATCGTATTCAAATTCAGACAAAATAGGACATGCAATTAATTGATGTTTTGGCTTAGAAGTAATTGCGATTTCATTTTAGAAACACTTAAACGATAATATAATCTCATTTATATTTACAATAAGCTGTTGCCTGGTTAATAATTAAATTTACCGATTTAAAGTACAAGCTGACATTGATTAAGTTAAAAATAAATAATGGATTTTTTTACCATAAAAATGAGTAACGAGAATTTAAAATCTCTGACTAAACCTTGATAACAAAACAATCAAATTTCCTTAAATTAGATCGATAAGCATATTTATAAAACTCTTTTAAATGGTGTCAATTAATTAAAATTAATGAGAATTCGGATGGAAATCGGTAACTTTCGGAAAATGAATTAGTGGATTGAAAATTTCACGAATTCATAGTTAATAATAACAGCACACATTAATGAATATTAACTGAACTAATTACTACATAGGCGTACATTAATGAGCCAAAAATTCAGATATGGTAAATTGATAAGATATCTGGAAAAATTGTTTTCTCACAAACTGAAAAATGAACTATGGGAGTAAGTAATGACGGATCCATTCAATCAATTAAAATTATTTTGAGAATAGGTACCTACAGTAATTTTTTAAAAGGTTAATTAGATTTAGATTGGTAAACCGTTACCGAACTTTAACATATGCGCGCCCAACACGATCTTGCGTTTAATTTTAAGGGATTATTTCGGAAATATGTATTTCGATATTCGTTCAAGCAATTGACGGTAAAATTGCCCTTTTCATGCCCTTTTGGTATCTATTGCGATTCACTTTTCTGCGTCATTTCCTTTGGATTACATCATCAGTTGGTAATTTGATGCACATATGTATAGTCAGCAAAGGAATAAGCGAGAGGAAAGAATAAGGGTGGCGATGGATGTATGGCAGCAGCGCCGGCAGTAGCAGTAGCACTCGAGTGCAATTGAAAAACAAAAGACTGGTTTAATGAGGATCAAATTCTAAATTGAACCTTTATTTGCGAAAAGGATCTGCTTAAGCCACTTATATTTTTAATATTGCCCGCTTTAATACCACGTGTTTTGTTCCACGCGTATACGAATACAATGCGTATTTTTTAGCCGATTCCTGAACTAGGTACATTTTTTTTCAATTAATAAAAAAGAGTATACGCAAAAATACAATACAAATACAAAACAAAATCAATCGATCTTGAACAACTCCCATAATCCAGAGTTTATTCATCCTAAACCCTTTAGGAGGAGTGCATAAGAATTATAATAAACAGTGTAGTGAACACCATCTGGTTCAA